TAATAGTAGTAGTAGTAGTAGCAGCAGTAGTAGTTCTAGTAGTAGTGGTAGTAGTGATCGTAGTAGTAGTAGTAGTAGTAGTAGTAGTAGTAGTAGTAGTAGTCGTGGTAGTAGTAGTAGTAGTAGTTAGTAGTAGGAGTAGTAGTAGTAGATAGTAGTGGTAGTCGTAGTAGTAGCAGCAGTAGTAGTACTCGTAGTTAGTAGTAGTAGTAGTAGTAGTAGTAGTAGTAGTAGTAGTAGTAGTAGTAGTAGTAGTAGTAGTAGTAGTAGTTGGTAGTAGTAGTAGTAGTAGTAGTAGTAGTAGTAGTAGTAGTAGTAGTAGTAGTAGTAGTAGTAGTAGTAGTAGTAGTAGCAGTAGTAGTAGTAGTCGTAGTAGTAGTAGTAGTAGTAGTAGTAGTAGTAGTAGTAGTAGTCGTCTGAGGTCTGCCTGGTTCAGGACTGCCTGGGGCCATCTTGGGGTCATCTGAGAACCATCTTGGATGCATCTTGGGGCACGGGTGATTTTGGGGCTTCCAAATGACAGGGCAGAAGGGGAAAGGAAAGAAACATAACAAAAAAACGCCACTTCAGCAAAATTCTCTTGGCCCTGGGCGAGAGCACCGGTTTTGATTATCCCGGGAGCCTTGATAAGGCCTTCTTGTGGCAATGTTGGGAAATCTTGGGCTCTTGGTGCCATCTTGGGGCTATGTTGGAGCACCCGCGGTGGCAGGAGATCCTCCCGTTGGCCTCGTTGGCGGTACTGGGGTCGCCCCGTGTGCTGCCGTGCCGCCGCTGTGCGCCGAACCATTTTGGCTTGCCATCCTGGCCTCTTCTCGCGCCTACTTGCGCTCGTTGGCCTCGATGGCGGTACTGGGGTCGCCCCGTGTGCTGCTGTGCCGCCGCTGTCGCTTTACTCTGGGCCGTAGGGACCAGCTGCCCTCGGATAAGCGCCTGCCGCTGCATGCACGTCAGACCCGCCTTTTCACCCAGAAGAGGTGCTCGCTACGTACTGGAAAGGAGGCAGCCACAAGGACGCTCATCCCAAGGCGGTTGAGCCGTGGTGATGTGGTGCACGAGACCGAGTAGTAGTAGTAGTAGTAGTAGTAGTAGTAGTAGTCGTAGTAGTAGTAGTAGTAGTAGTAGTAGTAGTAGTAGTAGTAGTAGTAGTAGTAGTAGTAGTAGTAGTAGTAGTAGTAGTAGTAGTAGTAGGGTAGTAGTAGTAGTAGTAGTAGTAGTAGTAGTAGTAGTAGTAGTAGTAGTAGTAGTAGTAGTAGTAGTAGTAGTAGTAGTAGTAGTAGTAGGTAATAGTAGTAGTAGTAGTAGTAGTAGTAGTAGTAGTAGTAGTAGTAGTAGTAGTAGTAGTAGTGGTAGTAGTAGTGGTCGTAGTCGTAGTATAGTAGTAGTAGTAGTAGTAAAGTAGTAGTGGTAGTGGTAGTAGTATTAGTAGTAGTAGTTGTAGTAGTAGTAGTAGGAGCAGTAGCAGTAGCAGTAGTAGTAGTAGTAGTAGTAGTAGTAGAGTAGTAGTAGGTAGTTAGATAGTAGTAGTAGTAGTAGTAGTAGTAGGCGTAGTCGTAGCAAGTTAGTAGTAGTAGTAGTAGTAGTTGAGTAGTAGTAGTCGTCGCGTTCGTCGTCGTTCGTCGTCGTCGTCGTCGTCGCGTCGTAGTCGTCGTCGTCGTCGTCGTCGTTCGTCGTCGCGGTTAGTAGTTTTTAAGTTAGTAGTAATAGTAGTAAGTAGTAGTAGTAGTAGTCGTAGTAGTAGAGTATTGGTGGTGTAGTCAGGTCAGATCGTAGTAGTAGTAGTAGTAGTAGTAGTAGTCTGAGGTCTGCCTGGTTGAGGTTTGCCTGAGGCCACCTTGGGGTCATCTGAGAGCCATCTTGGATGCATCTTGGGGCAGGGGTGATTGTGGGGCTTTTAAAGGACAGGGCAGAAAGGAAAAGGAACGAAACATAAAAAATGGCACCACTTCAACAACATTTTCACGGCCCTGGGCGAGAGCACCGGTTTTGATTATCCCGGGAGCCTTGATAAGGCCTTCTTGTGGCAATGTTGGGAAATCTTGGGCTCATCTTGGGCTCTTGGTGCCATCCTTGGGGCTATGTTGGAGCACCCGCGGTGGCAGGAGTTCCTCCCGTCCGCCAACAGTTTGCGAGAGGGAGGGCAGCGTCCAGGGGATCGACCAGCGCAGGTTCGCCGACCCTGCCCAGGGCGACAGCCTGATGGGGTAGCGCGGACGGGGCGGTGGAGGGATGGCTCGCTGGTACGATTGGCTCGCAGGCCCTCGGCGTCAGAGCGGTGGTCCTCCAGCCAGAGCTCTGTTCCCTCGGTGCCCTCGATACCCTCGAGGCGCTTACTCTCCGACCGCAGCTTGCCAAGCTGTCGCGCCAACTGATGGTTGCCGCCGCCACCGCTTTTTCCTGGCGGCCGGATGCGCAGCCGCCGCCCGCGGGTGCGGCTTCGAGCTGCTTGAGCTCGCGCCTCCTCTTGGCGTCCAGCTTCGACATCCCGTTCCGCCACGAGCCACGCGAGGCCTGAGATACCGTCTCTTAGCAGTCGTCGTCGCACTCGCTGCACTTCTGAATCTGGTGCCTTCAGTTCCTTTTGGTGCCAGTCCCAGGCGCGTTCAGCTGCCGTATTGCCGCCGCCTTGCTGCTGCCCTCCGCCTCGCCCTGCCTGCTTGAACGCCGGTCGAGCCCGTGCTCGCGCCTGGGCTCTCCAGCTGGTCCCGCTGTACTGGAGCGATGGTCGTGACGTGGAGGGACTGTAGCCTCACAGGCCGTGCTGACGTGGAATGCCTGGGAGCGCGACCACAGAACGGATGCGCTGGCCAGGGGCAGCCCCGAGGACCACGCACACGCCCGCACTCGCGCCATCTTGAGCCAAAGTGGCTACGGATGTTTATGGTGGTGCTGGCGATGATCCGATGACGGTATGCTTCGGATGAGGATGACGACGGGTACCGTGGCGAAGCTGCAGTTCGATCCAAGCATAGCGCATCGTAATTACAACATTTTGTTGTAGTACGCGAGTGGCATATATGGTAACATTAGGCCGGACTTAAATCCCTTACCAGCTCCGTGGGCCCCTCGAGATTTCCAATCGTTATGCCCCCTTCTTGGGCTGCCTTTGACTCATGTCGGAGCTGTCCTGGAGTTTTGTTTTTTTTATTTTTGTTGCTTTTTACTTTTTTGTCTTTTTTGACGGAATTGTTTTTTTTGTTTACGATTTATCTTAATATGCATGGTGGGGGTTTTTATTTTTTTATTTTATTATTCATTCGTTGGTTGAATTTTTTTTTTTTCTTTATCATTTTGTTTTTTACTGTTCTTTCTTTGTGGTTAGTCTGATTCATTATCTTTTTTTTTTTAGATTTTATATTCTTTTTTTTTTTGCATATTTTTGTTTCTTGTTTTTTTGTGCTTACTTTTTTTTTCGTATTTCTCTGTTTTTTTATGCCTGGGAGGCCAAATCGGGCCATGATGGGCAAATATTTCTTGTACATTCTTTTCGCAGGTGGTAATTTCGAGGCCAGCTGAGTCGCCCTGGGGGCCATGCTGGCGGGCGCGGCGGGCGCCTCAAAGGGGGGTGAGGATGGAGGCGGACTAGGAGGAGGAGGAGGAGGAGAGGAGGGAGGAGGAGGGGAGGAGGAAGAGGAGGAGGAGAAGGAGGAGGATGAGAGGAGGAGGAGGAGAGAGGAGGAGGAGCAGGAGGAGCGAGGAGATGAGGAGGAGAGGAGGAGGAGGAGGAGGAGGAGGAGGAGGAGGAGGACCGCGGCGCCTGGCGGTGAGACCGCGGCGCCTGGCGGTGGGACCGTGGCGCCTGGCGGTGGGACCGCTGGGCCCATGCCGCAGGCCAGGCGGCCACGAGGGCGAGGCGCTTGCCTACGTGGTCCCGGGTAAGCCAACTATAGGCCCCGGCCGGCGCACCCTTTCCTCCTCGGGGGCGGCTCGCCGCCGAGCGGTGGGCCGCACCCGGGGTGGGGGGGCTGCGCCGGCTCCCAATTGCAGTGCTACGGGACGCGCCAAATCTGCCCCCCCTTTGGGCTTGCTCCCGCGTCCTGGTCAGGCCGTGAGTGCACACCGCTTCGCGTGGGACGCGGCCAGACAGGCGTTTCTTCCGGCCCCAGGTTCTTCTCGCCTGAGGCCCCCCTCAGGCTTCCTCCCTGCATCCGCACGCGGCCCATCGGGGACCCGTTGTCCATGGTCATCCTCGTTCGGCTTCGGGAGACCGCTGGAATGAAAGGCTGGATGATCTCTTCAGGACTTCCCTCCTACAGGATGCCCCTATTTCGGCCTTGGAGGCGAGCCGGCACATCAGCAGCGGCACTGCTACGGGCCAGGGATGTTCAGTCGGCGCCAGAGAGTCTTTACCTCAGGTGTTCTCGCCGGAGGTTCGAGACGTCGACGCCAGAAGCGTCGGTCGTGGCATCAATCCCCAGTGCTCTTCCTGTTCTCTGCCAGCCCAAAGGAGCCTCGACACCGAAGGAGAAAGTCGGGCCGAACGATAGAGGGGGATAGGGAAAGGGGGGTCTACGAAATCTGCTGCGTGCAGCTGGTTTCGGCCCCGCCGCGGGGCCCATTCCTCGATGCATGGGCGCCTCCCGGCGCCGGGAGGCGCTGGGAAAATCAGCTATGTGAGCTGATTCTCTACCCTACCCTTTGCTATCCCCCCGTGCTTCCCCCCCGAGAAAGAGAGAGAGAGAGAGAGAGAAAGCACCGACCCTCCCTCCCGTCCCTCTTCACTTTGCCTTCTTCATGCTCTTCGCCCTCTTCGTTCGTCCTCATCGTCGTCGTCCTCATCCTTCCTTCCTTCTCTCTCCACTCCTTCTTCCCTCTCTTACTCCGACAAAGAAGGGGTACTAGGTGGGGGGTGGAGGATTCTACCAAGTGGGAGGGAGGGAGGAACGAGGACAAGGAGGAAGGAGGGCGGCAGGCGGGAGGGGGGGAAGAGGAAGAGAAGAGGTGTTGCTCCTCCGCCTTTCCCTCCTGCTCATCCCTTCCGCTTTCATCCTCCATTTTCTTTTAGGCAGCCCTTTCGGCTTGGGTGCCCATCAGTTTTCCGCGGCGCGCTTTTCGCGCCGCTCGTAGACTCCCTTGGAATCGTCCGCCGCGTGTGCTGGAATGGGGAAGGGGGGAGGGATATATGTATATGTATATGTATATGTATATGTATATGTATATGTATATGTATATGTATATATATGTATATATATACACATATGTATATATACATATGTATCTATGCATTTATACATACACATACATGTAAGACTGCACTGGCGCATCGCGCCATGCACCTTGGCCCTTGATGTTTGGCATACGAGCGGAAGGGCAGGAAGGTAAACAAAACATTTAACGATAAATCCTTGCTGCCCTTTCGGACGTTGTCATTACGAATGCATTCCCTCATGTTTCCTTGTCGTGGTCCCCCATTCTCGCCCTACCATGTGAATTCGTCCCCATCCTCAGCTCTATTCGCGCATGCTTCTTCCTTGAGAGCCTCTTGGGAGGCTTCTTGGGGCATCACGGAGGCCTCCTGGATTCCTTCTGGGAGCCTCTGGGGGCTGCCTCAGGCCACCCTGCTTCCAACCACGGTCTCCCTGAACGACCGGGTCACGACTTGGAATGCTTGGGGGGGCGTCTTGGGGCCATTTTGGGCCGTCATGGGACTCTCTTCGGGCCATCTGGTGCCCTGGTGTTCCCTTTTAGGGCTCTCTCTGACTTCCTGGAAGCCTTTTTGGCTAGTTCTGGGGCGATTATCTGGCCTCCTGGGCAGTCCTCGGACTCCCGGAAGGCCGAAGAGCAAAGCATTCTCGACATCATGCAACAACCATTGAAAATCAATATGATTTTGCGTTCGAAAGCCTCTTGGGAGACTTTTAGGGTCTTTTTCGGACGTTTGGTGGGTGTCTGGGGCCTCTTGGGGCTCTCGCGGGGCCGTTCGGTTGCCATCATGACCGAAGTGGACCCATCGCCTAGGCCCAGCAGGGGCTTCAGAAGCCCCGGAAAGCCCGGGGGACCTTCTGCAGTGGCGTCCAGGGCGCCCCCCGGGCCACGGATCCAGGAGGTCCCCCCCAGGGTAGTCAAAGTATAGAGAATGAGATATTCAAATGTGTATATGTATATATGTCTATATACAGAACGAGGGAGAGCGAGAGAGAGAGAGAGAGAGAGACAGAGAGAGAGAGAGAGCGAGAGAAAGAACGAGAGAAAGAGAACAAGAGAGAGAGAGAGAGAGAGAGAGAGAGAGCGAAAGATAAAGAGAACGGGAAAAAGAGAGAGGGAGAGAGAGGGAGGAGAAACATTTTGATGGGGGAGAGGGGAGTGAGAGGCAGGCGATGATGGCGATGAAGATGACGACGATGATGGTGATGAGGATGCAGATCCAGGCCAATTTTGAATGATGAAACGATGCGCGAGAGGGCTGTGCAACGGGGGGACGTTGTCAGGGGGAGAGAGAGAGAGAGAGAGAGAGACAGTGAGAAAAAGAGAGAGAGAGAGAGAAAAAGGACGATACACTCGTATACATATGTATATATATATATACAGTGACAATCGACAGTAACAATCGATGATACAGGGGATGTTGTTGATGAGAGTCATGATGGTGATAATGTTGACGATGGCTACGATGCTATGTATAATGATGTCGATGTGGATGAGGGCGTTGATGACAATGATGATGATGATGCTGATGATGATGATGACTGTCACGATGGCGATGGCGATGACGATGACGACGACGATGACGATGACGATGATGAGGATGGGGAGCAGGAGGATAATGAGGATGAGGATGAGGATGATGATGCTGAGGAGGATGAGGATGAGGATGATGATGACGATGATGATGCTGATGCTGATGATGACGATGATGATGATGATTATCATTTCTCGTATTATTATTGTTATTTATTTTATTATTATTCTTATTATTCTTATTCTTCTTATTGCTATTACTATCATCAGTATTATCACCATTATTAGTATTGCTCTCATGATTATTATTGTTAATCGTATTATTATGAGTATTTTTATTTTAATTTCTGTTACCACTATCACTATAATTATTTATATAAGTATCAGATGATGATGATGACGATGATAGTGATGGTGATGGTGATGGTGATGGTGATGGTGATGATGATGATGATGATGATGATGATGATGATGATGAGGCATGAGGCATGAGGCATGAGGATGAGGATGAGGATGAGGATGAGGATGAGGATGAGGATGAGGATGATAATGACGACGACGACGATGACGATGACGACGACGCTGATTATGATCCCCCCTCACTCTTCTCTCTTTCCCTGCGCTCTTCCTCCTCCCATCCCCCTTCCCCGTTTCCCCTCCTTGAACTGTTGGTTCTGTGGGAGTTGTGGGGCCACAGCTGACAAGCAGCTGCGAGCCCTAGCCAAGCCCTGTTCGGGCATCCTCACCCCCACGGGACGTCAATACCTCAAGAGAATTTGTGATGGGCCACCCCCGAAGGTCCTCAGCAAGGCCGAATTGGTCCAGCGAGGCCGGGGGTAGTATCGGTTGGCATTGGCATCGCCATCGGTTCCTACTCCTACTCCTACTCGCTCTCGCCCCCCTCCTTGAGATCCGACGTTGCGAAAAACTTGCGATGCACAGAGAAACGACGACCAGAGCCCTAGACCCCACCTCTCCGTGGCACTTGTTTCGAGCCTGATCGATCCGTGATGGCCCCAGGGCCCGAACACGGGCCAGAGCGCCAGGGATGCAGCACATGCGACGCCCAGATCTCGAGGCGTGTCCACCTCGCTCTCCCCTCCCCGCTCACCCAGCGCATTCCATTACTCGCACAGTGCCTACTCGCAAACGTCCGAAAGGCACTTGTGTGCCTCGATGTTATATATATATATATGTGTATATATGTGTACACATATATATATGCATACATATATACATATTCACATATATATATGTACACATTTATATATATGATATATATATATGATAGGATATGATATGATTTATATATATGATTTTATAATATATATATATATATATATATATATATATATATATATATTTATCGTAAATCCCCCGTGGCGGACCCAGGCCGTTTGTGAGTAGTGATTTTGCGAGTAGTCCTTGTGCCAGTGGTGGAACGCGCTGGTCTACCCGCGCATGCTGCGCCCCCCGGGCGTCGCCGGCCCCGCCCGGCCCCGTGGCGCGCCGGCGGGCGCCGCTCCGCGGAGCGCGCCGCGGAGCGCGCCGCGGGGCCCCGCCCCGCCGAGCGCGGGTTGGCGGCTGGCCGCCTGCCTGGCCCGCGGGGCCGCGCGGGGCGGCGTCGGGCGGCGGCTCGGCCGCCCGCCTGGCGGGCGGAGGCGGAGGAGCCCAGGCCTCCGGCGGCTGGGGGGGGGCCCTCGGTCCTTCCTCTCCAGGGGAGCGAACAGGGGGCTCCAGGGCCGAGCCGAGAGAGCCGCGCGGGCCTCCGAGATCCTAGGTTTGGGCCGCTGTTTGTTCCCCTGCTCTCGCCCTGCAGGGAAGGGGTGCTGAAGGGAAGGGGTCCTCGGTTTTTGTCACCGTCTTCGGGCTCTGGGGCCCTCCATGGGCTCGGGGACGCCTCAAGCAACGGCTCAGGAGGAAGAGCTGGTCCAAGGGGGGTCCAGGACCCGTTGGCTTCATGCTGATCCTCGTCTCATGGCCTTCGGGGGCCTCCGTCGCCGCCACGGCCGAGCGTGGCTCGAGAAAGTGGTCGTTCTGAGCAGACTGTTCCCAGGGCTCGTGCGGCTGGGCAAAGCCGCGTGGCCGTCAAAAGCTGGCTCTGAGCAAAGAGCGGGTTCTCGGCGAAGGAATTAAAGTTTCGTGAGCCGGCGACTCGGACAAGACCGAGTCGCAGGAGGTCTGGGGGCGGAGGAGGGCGTCGCGCGCCGCCGCGGATCCGCGGGCCAGCGCCTTGAGCGTCCTGAGCCTGTCCGAGGGCGCTTCGAGAAGCGACGTCAAGAGGCGGTTCAAGGAGCTGGTCGCCACGGAACACCCGGACAAGAGGCCAGGCGACCTGGCGGCGGCCGAGCGGTTCAAGGCCGTCGTGGCGGCGTACGAGGAGCTCGCAAGCCCAGGCGGCGCGCCCGAGCCTGGGCCCGCGCCGACAGCCAGCCGCCAGACGGGGCCCGTCGAGGTTGAGGTCGATGAGGTCGAGGTCGACCCAGAGTCCGTGGCTGCGCTGCTACTCTTCGCCTGCTTCGGCGTGGCGGTGGTGCTGCTCTCGCAGGTCGATCTGAGGTGGCAGACCTGCTACAGGTCGTGGGAGTGGTGGTGCAGTCTGAAGGGCCTGGCGTGAGCTCGCGCCTGGGGCCGTCGCCGCATCCGGTCTGGCAGCGCGGAGGGAGAAATGATGATGATGACGATGATGATGATGATGATGATGATGATGATGATGATGATGATGATGATGATGATGATGATGATGATCATGATCATGCTGACGCTGATGCTGATGCTGATGATGATGATTCTTATGATGATGCTAATGCTGATGCTGATGCTGATGCTGCTGCTGATGATGATGGATCATATGATGACGATGATTGATGATGCTGCTGCTGCTGATGATGATGATGATGATGATGATGATGCTGATGCTGATGCTGCTGCTGCTGATGATGATGCTGATGCTGATGCTGATGCTGCTGCTGCTGCTCCTGATGATGATGATGATGATGATGATGATGCTGTTGTTGATGATGATGATGATGATGATGATGATGATGATGATGATGATGATGATGATGATGATGATGCTGTTGATGCTGTTGATGCTGTTGATGATGATGATGATGATGATGATGATGATGATGATGATGATGATGATGATGATGATGATGATGATGATGATGATGATGATGATGATGATGATGATGATGCTGATGCTGATGCTGATTTTGATGCTGATGCTGATGCTGATGCTGATGCTGATGATGAGTAGGAGGAGGGGGAGGATGAGGAGGAGGAGGAGCAGGAGGAGGAGGAGGAGGGGGGAGGAAGCGGTCGAGGGGGAATGGAGGTGCAGGAGGAGGCGGGGGGCAGGACCTTCCCTTATGGGCTACTCGCGACATTTGTCGAGAGTTCCCTTGCTCAGGACCTGGGCCTTCTCGAGGAGGGACCGGATATCCGCGGGGGAAAGTGATGTTCTCCGCCGGGGGGGGGCCCAGGGGGGGGGGCCCCAGAGGTCTTTTTCCCACTTCTCCAGGGCCGCCTTTCGTCCCGCATGCGTGTCTGATGGCACCGGGGCCCGGCAGGCCCGCCCCAGGCTCGAGCGCGCGGGGGCGAGCGGGTGGGGACCGCAGCACCTCTGCCGGTCTCGGGGGTGGGGAGGAGGAGGAGGAGGAGGAGGAGGAGGAGGAGGAGCCCGTGCTGAGAGCCTTGCTTCAGTTTTTTTGATCGTTGGTGAAGGGAGGCTGAGTGGCGATTTCCACCAAGTGCTCACCACGATTCTGTCACGGAGAGGAGTGCAGATTGCCATTCAGCATTTCTCGCACTCTCAGTGGACTGAGGGGCTGGCCGCCCATTGGACTGGAAAAGTTTCCCAGGGCCGCGTTGCGGGGGGCTGTTTTTTCCTCCCGAGGTTCGGAGTGAGAGTGGAACGGGCTCTTAGAGATTCCGAGTTTCCCTGGGGGAGACCCTTTGCCAATTCTAGGCAGCGTGATCGCCTCATGCAGGAAAACGTGGTGATGAGAGGGGCCTTGAGACTGGCGGTGTTTGCGCAGGCCCACGGAGCTCCATGGGCCACCCTGCCGGAGCAGAAAATTGGGCATCTGCTCGAGTTTGACAGCTTCCCCTTTCTTGATGCCGTTGCTGCCAGCCCTGCCGCCAGTGCTATCAGGTTCGAGAGGTGCGCTGTCTCAGGTGGCGCGGAGTGGGACCCGATCGGCATCGTGGCATCGTGGATGCCGAGTCTCCGCCCGAGGGTTGAGAGTGAGGGAGGATGGAGGTGCATGGGCGATCATGTGCATTGCATGTCTCAGGGCAACTGTGGGTGTATTAGTGTTACGTTGCCCGCTCCTGTGTCGACCTTGATTGCCCTCTCCTTTTGCGATGTTTGGGACAGTGGTATGTTACGGCAGTTGTGTGAGGGGGACTTTGAACTTCCTGTGGGTGCGGAGGCTCTTGGTCCTCTCGATCCGTATCTGTTGTAACCTGTGACCCAGAGGCTCTCGATGCTGGCAGGTGTTGGTTAGGGACCCCTGATGTCACAACAGCTGCTGCCTGCGTCGTGCTCTTTTTGTCTCCTTCCCCCTCTGTAATCCCAGAAGAGGCTGCGAACTGCAAGGGCCTTTAGTCTGCGAGCGAGCGAGGAGGGGGAGGAGGAGGAGGAGGAGGAGGAGGAGGAGGAGGAGGAGGAAGCTCGACCTCGAGGAGAGAGCCGCTACCAGGACCGAGAGAGGCGCGTCGTCGGAGATCTGGGCCCCCGGCGCTGCCCGGCGGCAGGCCCCTGCCGCCCCGCAGCGGCCGAAGCCGCGGGGGGGCCGCTGCGCGGCCGCCGGGGGGCGGAGCGCCGTCTGCAGGGGGCCCGCTCTCAGAGGAGGGTGCCGGCCGCCCCCGGGGCTCCGACGAAGGCATCTATACACCGCCACCGTGCCAGGCCAGGGCCATCCTGGGCCGTAGGATGGTGTATATATAGACCCTCCTGGCTCGGCCAGGAGGGCGTATACGCCATCCTGGGGCCCAGGATGGCCCTGGCCTGGCACGGTGGCGGTGTATAGGTGCTTTCTGCGTATGGGGGCCTCCGAGGGCGGAGGCCGCTCGAGAGCGGGCGGCTTCGGGATCTCCGGGCAAGCGAGAGGCCATGCGCCATTCGGCGCGTGGCCAGTTGAAACAATGCGCCGCCAGGGCAAGAAGGCCAGTGTGCAGCGCGGCCGTCAAGCGCAGTCTTTGTGGCAACAGGGCGCCACGTTCGTCCGCCATGCAATCTCCGACGAGGTGATCTCCTCTGTCCCCGGCGGTTTTCCTCGATCTCCGCCTCTCGGGCCCGCTGCCTATGTTCACCGCGTGGGTGCGAGTAGGGCTGGGATTGCAGGGGTCGATTGTCTGCCTCGATCGTGAGCATGATTTCTGGTACCGCGTGCTGCGTTTGCAATGCTCTGGCATCAAGTTATGGTGTTCCCTTGCCGACGGTGGCACCTTGCACCCGTTTTATTTGATTCCGCTTTGGCGTGACACAGGCAGAGTACGAGCCTTGTGCTTTTGGACACCCCTATGCATCTTCCCTGCGCGCGTGCATGCGGAACCCGCTCGCTAGAACGTAGATGCCCCCCGCTCGTGTTGACAGCCTAAAAGTACGCCCGAGCCACTCCTGAGGTTTGGCCACGGAGGGGAGCGCCAACGATCTACGATGAATATGGATATTCTTCACGCTGCATGTATCCCCCCCGGCGCCCAGTTGTTTTTGCATGGTAATCATCTGGAACTGCGCCCCATTGCCTCACACCGCCCTCTGGACTTTTCCTTGCGGGCCGCAAATCAAAAATGTATCCCCCCCGGCCCATTCAGAAACACTGCCGATGAGAGCTGATCTTCTTGATGTTCCTTTGGGGTCCTCTTGGGGTTCTCCTGGAGCTCTCTTGAGGGCCCAGTGGGGCTCGTTTGGGGGGTCTTGAGGCCCTCTTGGACCTGGGCCCCTCTTGGCAGCCTTTTGGCAACCATCGAGGGCCTCTTGGGGCCAAGGGGGGGTCCCTAGGTACCCCTCCTCAAGAGCCCTCGGCACCGTCTCCTGGGGCCCTCTTGGGGCGTTCTTGGGGCGCTCTTAGGCGCTCTTGGGGCCGTCTGGGGGGCCTCTTGGTCCGCTGTTGGGGCTAGCTTGGGCCATCCTGGGCCATCTTGAAGCCTCAAAAGCCCATCGGAGACGGCACAATTCTACGACTTTCCCATGGTTTTTGAAGGATTTTGGGTTCTTGGGGGATCCTGAGGTGGCTCCGAGAACACTTGGAACCATTTTGTGGCCATTTTGGGACCTCTTTGGGGTATGTCCGAAGCTATATTCGGCCACCTTGAGCTATCTTGGAGGCCATCTTGGAGGATCGGAGGCCCCATTGGAGCCAGCTTGGGCAGCACATGACTCCCTGACACCTCCGTCCCCCTGCCATCCAGACCCCTCGGAGTGGGTAGGGGGAGGGGTGAACCCCTTCCCGAAGGGGAATGAGCTGGTTGTGGAAGAGGAAAGAAAGAACTCGTTAGACCACTTACGCCCAGAGGGCTTGTTGGACTTTTGATATGGCTGGCCTGGGCGAGTGGTGGATACATGTGGCCGACCGTCTCTCAAGCGATCGGACCCCCCTGCCTAGCTGTGTACATCGCCGTTCTTGTGTGTGTGTGTGTCTGACGCTTGCGAGTGATTCTGAAATCTCGTGTGTCACCTGCCGTCGGTTTTCCACTTCCGCTGGCGCAGCCGGGTTCCCATCCAAGTCCCACTAGCCTTGTGGGCGTAGGTGGTTGGACGAGTTGTGTCTTCTACCTTCCATGACCTCTTCTCCCCCTGCTCGGGGAGGGGGCCTACCACTGTTCCTTATTAATATACACCCTCCCCCAGGCGACCTGCAGCCAACCAGGAACCAGGAGGACCCCATGCTCACCCCCCACCATCACTCCTGTCAAATGACAATACAGCACGCACTCTGCCTCCAGGGACGGCGGGGGTTTCTGGATCTCTGTTGGGACTCTCTGGGGCCATCATGGAGCCATCTTGAAGCCTCGGAAGGCTACCTGAAGCGAACGGGCGAGACAGCCAACAACATTGATATTCCTCAGGTTTGGAAGGATTTTGGCCTCTTCGGGGCCTCCTTGAGAAGCCTTTTGGCCGCTTACCGCCGTTTTGGGGCGGTCTTTGGGCCTCTTTGTAAGCCATCTTGAAGCGTCGTGGGCAATTTTTCCATTTTGAAAGTCATCTTGGGTCTGGAGCCGTCTTGGGCGAACAAGTACCCTCTGACACCTCGCGACCGCCCCCGTCCAGGTCCAGGGGAGGGGTCGGGGGAGAGGTCAAGACACCCACCCGCCCGCAAGCCGTCTAGCTCACTCCCGCCCGCCCTCCCTACACATAAGGAACACCCCAGCCTGAGCATGTTCAGCGGTCGTCTTTGGATGGACGGCTACTGGGAACCAAAACCGACCCCAGGTGCGCAACGCTGGGGCGAGGTGCGCCACGCGAGCCAGGCGCGCCACGCGCGCCAGGCACCCCTGGGGCCCGAGTGTGCCAGGCACGCCTGGTGCGCCAGATGCGCCACGTGCTCCGAGTGCGCCACGTGTGCCGCATACTCCAGTCGCGCCAGGTGCGCCACGTTCGGGGCACGCGCAGAGTGAGTCAGGTGCGCCCGCGCACGTGACAGCACACATCGGGAAACATGTCCGCCCCCGCCATCCTTGTCGAAAACTGATGCCCAGCATTGTGTCTGCTGGGCCTGCGCACGGCAGGCCACGCGCCACCACCCCCGCCGTCCTTGTCAAAGACCACTTGACAGTGATCGCGGGATGGCTGCGCATGTTCCAGATTTAGCCGCGAGGTGCACGCTGTATTGTTTTTCCCAACCACCCCGTGGTGTTGGGTCTTCGTTTTGTAGAGACAGCGCTCCGCGTCACTCCTTCTCTCCTCTCCTCTCCTCCTCCCCCTCCTCCCTCCTCCCATCGCCATCATCACCCTTATCATTATCACCATCACCCCTCACACGTTTCGTGGCCCCACAGGGAACTCCACCGAAGGCCCCAGTGGCTGCGCTCGCATGCGGCCACCGCATCCATTCCGGCACACCCCTCACAAGTTTCATGGCCCCACGGGGAGCTCCACCGAAGGCTCCAGTAGCTGCGTTCCAATGCGCCCGCAGCACCAATGTCGGCGCACTTTTTGCACGTTTCGTGGCCCCATAGGGAGCTCCACCGAAGGCCGCAGTGGCTGCTTTCGCATGCGCCCACCGAACCGACTTCGGCACACCCGTCACACGTTTCGTGGCCCCATAACGAGCTCCACCAAAGGCCCCAATTGCTGCGTTCGCTTGCGCCCACCGCACCCATTTCGGCACACCCCTCACACGTTTCGTGGCCCCACAGGAACTCCACCGAAGGCCACAGTGGCTGCGTTCACATGCGCCCACCGCACCCATTGCGGCACACGCCTCGCGCGTCTCGTGGCCCCACAGGGAACTCCACCGAAGGCCACAGTGGCTGCGTTCACATGTGCTCACCGCACCCCTTTCGGCACACCCCTCACACGTTTCGTGGCCCCATAGGGAACTCCACCGAAGGCTCCAGTGGCTGCGTTCGCATGCGCCCACCGCACCAATTGCGGCATACCTCTCACACGCACGTTTCGTGGCCCCATAGGGAACTCCACCTAAGGCCCAGTGGCTGCGTTCGCATGCGCCCACCGCACCCATTTCGGCAACCCCCTCACACGTTTCGTGGCCCCATAGGGAACTCCACCGAAGGCCACAGTGGCTGCGTTCGCATGCGCCCACCGCACCCATTTCGGCACGCCACTCACACGTTTCGTGGCCCCACAGGGGGCTCCACCTACGGCTTTAATTCTTGCGTTCGCATGCGCCCACCGCATCTATTTCGGCACACCCCTCACACGTTTCGTGGCCCCACAAGGAGCTCCACCGAAGTCCCCAGTGGCTGCGTTCGTATGCGCCCACCGCACCCATTGCGGCACACCTCTCACACGTTTCGTGGCCCCATAGGGAGTTCCACCGAAGGCCCCAGTGGCTGCGCTCGCATGCGCCCACCGCGCCCAGTCCGGCACACCCTGCACACGTTTCGTGGCCTCACAAGGAGCTCCACCGAAGGCTCCAGTAGCTGCGTTCCAATGCGCCCGCAGCACCAATGTCGGCGCACTTTTTGCACGTTTCGTGGCCCCACGGGGAGTTCCACCGATGGCCCCAGTGGCTGCATTCGTATGCGCCCACCGCACACATGTCGGCACACCCCTCAAACTTTTCGTGGGCCCATAGAACGTTCCCTCTCGTTCGTTCAACCTGCCTTGTGGTATTCGCAAATGCACATGGTTGGGTCCTTCGTCAGGCTAAGTTATTTAATCTCTTCGCTCATTCCGCCGTCCCTGAAGCCCTCTTTAGGGCCCCATGGGGGCCTCTTGGGGACCTGTTGGGAGTCTCTTGGGGCTCCTTGATGGCGTTTCGGGGGCCCCCCAGGGCCTCTTGGGGGGCTTTGGGGGGCTTCTTGGGGCGGGAGGGGGGGTAGTCGATTGCGGCTCCCCCCTCGGAGGCCACGATCCTCGTGAGGGGTGTCGAAAACTGGCCGTCACCTGGAGTGCTCTGGTGGCTTCTCCCAGGACCTTGCCGGGGTACTTTTCGTCTGGGGCCCCCCAGGGGCCGCTCTGCGCGCGCGAGCTAGAAATATTGTTAACCAGTTGCTGGAGATCTTAGCACGCCTCTGGCCCGTTGGGCCGGCGAATTTGGGTCACGGATGGTAGCCCTGCGCACAGCAGGCAATGTGTTGACACCGCCCCCGTCCGTGCCAACAACAATACGAAATGCTCGCGGGCCTCACGAACATGACTCAAGACTTTGGCCCAAAGAGTATTTTGTATTGTTTTTGGACAGGGATGGTGGGGGGGCCGCATCGGGGTGGCCGCGCATGCTCCAAATGTGGAGGCAGAGAGCGGTTTGCCTTGTTTTTGACAGGGATGGTGGGGGGCGGGTGGTCATGGTGTCGGCTAGAGCCTGGTTGGCCCCCGGTCGCCTGGTGGAGGGGGTGTACATTAATAAGGAACAGTGATCAAAACACCCCTTAGATAGCACGCCGTCTAGCTCACTCCCGGCCGCCCTCTCTACACATGGTAACACCCGAGCCTGAGCATGTTCAGCGGTCGTCTTTGGATGGACGGCTACTGGGAACCAAAACCGACCCCGTATGCGCAACGCTGGGGCGAGGTGCGCCACGCGAGCCAGGCGCGCCACGCGCGCCAGGCACCCCTGGGGCCCGAGTGTGCCAGGCATCCGAGTGCGCCAGGTGTGCCGCATACTCCAGTCGCGCCAGGTGCGCCACGTTCGGGGCACGTGCAGAGTGCGTCAGGTGCGCCCGCGCACGTGACAGCACACATCCGGAAACATGTCGGCCCCCACCATCCTTGTCGAAAAACAATGCCCATCATGGTGTCTGGTGGGCCTGCGCACAGCAGGCCATACCCCACCACCCCCGCCGTTCCTGTCAAAAACCACTTGACAGTGATCGCGGGGTGGCCGCGCATGATCCATACTCAGCCCTGAGGCGCATTCCGTATTGTTTTTGATAGGGATGGTAGCCCTGCGCACAGCAGGCAATATGCTGACCCCCGCCGTCCCTGTCAAAAACAATACAAAGAGCCCGCGGGCTTCACGAACATGACTCAAGACTTTGCCCCGAAGTGTAATTTGTATTGTTTTTTGACGGGTGGCGTGGTCCTGGTTGGCTGCCGGTCGCTTGGGGGAGGCGGTGTATAGTAAGAGGGAACAGTGATACACTTTTTCCCGAAGGGGAATGAGGGGGTTGGAAGAGGAATCTCTCTAGACCATGTACGCCCAGAGGGCTGGTGGGATTTTCTCGGCCCCCCGCGCTTGTGCCAACATCTGGCACCTCGCGTCCTCTGCCACACTTTTTCCGGAATGTGTTTGACGACGGGTCTTCAGTTCTCACGCCGCCCGCTGCCACTGGTGTTGCTGGTCGGGGTGGTGTTGCTGGTGCTGGTGCTGGTCGTTGTCGTCGTCGTCGTCGTCGTCGTCGTCGTCGTCGTCGGTGCGGCTGTTGATTGTGACGATGGCAGCCTGCACCGGCCGCCGTGCCTCCACGCGACCCTGGGCGACGGCGTATTTCCTCCGAGATATGCGGCACTCCTGGCCCTGCGCGCGCGGTCAGTGGCAGAGTGGACGACAGCAAGGGGACGAGACAGACTGCAAGGTCTGAAAGACTAACACGAGACATCACAGCAGGACAATAAGCAATGCGAAATGCGGCGCTAAACCTCCCGAGCAGTCTCCATTCAGTACGCGGCCCGCGCAGGACGTATGTTTTTAAGTGTGAACACGTAGAGCTTCAAGGAAGTACGAGCGAGGCAGGAAAATGCACAGACTGAACGAAAGGCAGGGCCTGCAACAATACAGAGAGGAAGGAGAAAGCAAGCACGCGGACCGAGGAGGGGACGGAGGACCACAGCACAGCACTGCACAACGCCAACATGTTTCACCACACGTGGCATAGCATGGCAACAGCCAAGACAGGCACCAGAGCGGCAGGGTGGCGGACACGCGCAGCGTAGGGAATACTGGAGATTATGTCAGCAAGGCAGGACGACTTGAGTAAACGGATACGAGCAGCGAATGAAATACCCGAGAGCCGCAGCAAGGCAAAATGGGATTTAGGACAGCCGCTGGCAGCCACTGCGCTTGCTTGCTCTCGCCTTGCCCCTTTGTCAGTGGCTCTTTCTCGTGTTGTTTCTTCCCCAGGCGTCTGTCTCTTTCTCTGTCGTGTCAACGTACGCGGCCCGCTGGTGAATGTATATTTTTTTCCTTCTCCCGCCGCTTGCTTAGCTCCCCCGCTGTCCGATGGCGCAAAGCGGGGCCCCAGCGCCTTCACCAGACGTGCGGATGGCGTGTCCAGCTGCGTGTTCCGCGCTCTGAAAGCCGGCGCTGCGCGACCTTGACTCGGACCGAGGGGCGGTCCGATCAAGAAGGAAGCGCGGGCCAGGCCAAGGGAAACAAGAGGAGCGGGACAGCGAGGAGCCAAAGAGCACGGGCACGGGGGAGGAGGGGGGATGAGAAGGGGAGGAAGCAAGAGATCAAATCAGGCCGACAGGCAGGGACGGAAGAGGAAAGAAATGCCAGGAGGGGGAGGGAGGAGGCACCTATACAAGAGGCAATGAAACACAAGGGCAAGGGAGAGGACACAGAGTGCGAGAGGGAGGGGGAGAAGCCAGCAGCCAGAGCCAGGGCGAGCAGAGCAGGCCAGGTAGGCCAGGCAGGCAAATATGGGCACATGGCCAGCCAAGAGATCGCCCGTGCAGGGCCCCAGCCCCCCCCCCCCACGCCCGGCGCATCCCACACCTCGTGGCCGGTGGGGGGTTTCTGGTAGATGTCGGACGGCTTCTCCTCGGCCTTCGTCGAAACGGCGTTTGACGGCATTCTTTTTGCTGGGGCGCCGCAGACGAGCGTCAGGTAAATGTGGGGCGTCCTGTCCACGGGCTTCATGGCGAGGGCCTTCCGGGCCTTATTTTTGCCAGGGCGCCCAGGAGAGGCCTCGGGTATCAGGCAGATATCGGACTCCTTTCCGTGCGGCTTCGTGTCGACGCTCCCTTCTTGCTGGGGCGCCAGGGAGGGGCTTGGAAAGGACGGCCTTGGACTCCCTTCTGGGCCTCATTCTTGCTGGGGCGCCAGGAAAGGCCTCAGGGTCAAGTAGATGCCAGGCGCGCAATTCGCGATCTTCATCTTGATGGCCTTCGGGGCTTCCTTCGCCCGGACGCCGGGGAGGAGGCTTCGAGTGGTTGGCGGATGTCAGCTCCACGGCTCCCTCTGTACTTCCTTCGGGGCTACCTGCGGCTATCTTCGCTGTGACGCCGGGGCGAGTCTTCGCGTAGACGTCGGCCGCTTCTTGCTCTGCCATCCTCATCGTCGTCCAGCTCCTCCATGTTGTTTCCTTGCTGATAGCTCCTCCCTGTCTCGCCCCGAGGCTTGCCGAAAGGGTGGGCCGGCCCTACCACTTCAGAAGTCGACTCGGCCCCCAAACTTTTTTTGTTCCATGCCGCAGCGGCGGGGGCCAGAGCGCGGCGCGGCCGCGCGCGCCGCCTTGGCGCGCCCCCCCACGTGCGGCCCCCTCAGGTCGCAGCCACGCCTGCGCTCCTGGGGCAGGACCACGGGGCCGACCCCGTCTGGAGGAAGGCTCTCTCACCTCCGTCCTGGGTCGGCCCAGGTGCCGCCGCCGGTAACGGCGCCCTGGCCGCGCGGCCAGTGCGACCCCTCCCCGACCGGCACGTCCGGCCGCTGGCGCCACGGGGGCGGGCAGCAGCCCAGAGGCTGCGCGAGCAGGCGGAAGAGGGAAAGAGAAAGGGTTGGGGGGCACGGGGCACCGCGTGTCGGGCAGGCAGACGGTTTGGGGGGCAGCCGCCGCCCCAGACGCGCAGTGCTTTGCGCGATTGCAACGGCCCCCCCCTGGCGCGGCGGCCTCGCCCAGCCCTTCGAGGAACGCTTACCTAAGAAAGGGATACGACCGGCCGCGGTCCCCCGCCCCCCCCGGAGGGGGACCCAAACCAGAAAAACCGGGGCCAGTGTTTCCGGCGCCCGCGGCCACGCACAGCCAGATCCCAAACGGATCTCGAAACTCCTTCCGCCTCTCCTGGGGGTGGAGCTCACCGAGTCGTGCAACGCAAGCGCCGCGAAGAGAACGTGGTGCCACCTCTCTTAAGGTGGCGGCCCCTCGCGAAGTAACTGGTACATGTGCATGGCAGCGTGCGGTTGCGGCGGTAGCAGGGCACGGGTGTCCATTTTTTTGTTTCGCGCGCGAGGTGGGCGCTGGCGCGCGTCCCTCGCTGCGCGGGCTCCCCGCTCGCCTCCTCCGGCGGATGCCCCGCCGACGCAGACCAGCGCCCCTCCTTCTTTTCAGCTCCCTCGGCGCCTCGTCTCTTCCCTGGCGCAGCTGCGCTGCGGGGTCCGCCCGGCCGCCCCGAGAGTCGCGGGCGTTCTAGCCCCACCCTCACTCGGGACCCGCTCTGGCGTGCCCCCCGGAGCCCCTCCTAGGCGAAGGGCCGTGGGGTCCTTGCGCTGCCGCCCCCTGCATCCTGCAGCGCCTCCTCCGCCCCCTCGTCTTGTTTCTCCGCCAGCGCCTCCGCTTCCTCCTCGCCCTCTGCCTCCTTGGCCTCCTCCTCCTCCGCCACCTCCTTCTCCTCCTCGTCCTCTCGCTGGTCGCCGTCGCGGTGTTGCTGATGGTGGACCTGCCGGTCTCGTCGTGGCGCTGGGGCGTAGTGGTGCGGTTGGTCGCGGTTGTGGTGCTGCTGGCGGTGGCGACAATCGGGGTGGTGGTGCTGGTTGTTTTGTCGTAGCGTTGCTGCTGGTGGCGACGCAGGTCGTAGTCGCCAGATTGTTGTTGGTCGCCGTCGTGTGGTGGCTGCTGGTGGAGCTGTTGGTCGTGTTCGTGGCTGTGGTTCTGCTTGTCGTGATCGTGGAACTCCTGGCCGCTGTCGTGGCGGTGGTGCTGCTGGTCGCCGTCATGGGGCAACTGCTGGTCGCGGTCGTGGCGGTGCTGCTGGTCGTAGTCGTGTTGTTGGTGCTGCTGCTGGTAGTGGTACGGCTCGCAGCCTTGGTGGCGCTGCTGGTCGCAGTCGTGGGGTTGCTTGCTGCCGTCTCGCCGTTCTCTCCGGCTGCCTCCTTCGCCGCCTCGTCTGTCTCCTCATCCTCCTCTTCCTCGCCCTCGCCCCTCCTCTTCGTCCTCTTCGTCCTCCTCGCCTTCTGCTTCTCCTCCTCCTCCTCCTCCTCCTCTTCCTCCTCTTCCTCCTCTTCCTCCTCCTCGTCCTCCTCCTCGTCCTGGTTCTCCTCCTCTTCCTCCTCCTCCTCCTCCTCCTCCTCCGCGTCCTCTCGCTGGTCGCCGTCGCGGTGCTGGTGGTGGTGGTGGACCTGCTGGTCTCCGTCGTGGCGCTGGTGCGTAGTGGTGCGGTTGGTCGCGGTCGTGGTGCTGCTGGCGGTGGTGGCAGTCGGGGTGGTGGTGCTGCTGGTTGTTGTCGTCGTGGCGTTGCTGCGGGTGGCGATGCAGGTCGTCGACGCCAGATTGCTGTTGGTCGCCGTCGCGTTGTTGCTGGTCGCACTCGCGGTGGTGGAGCTGTTGGTCGTGCTCGTGGCTGCGGTTCTGCTTGTCGTAGTCGTGGCGCTTCTGGTCGCTGTCGCGGTGGTGGTGCTGCTGGCCGCAGTCGTGCCGCAACTGCTGGTCGCGGTCGTTGTGGTGCTGCTGGTCGTAGTTGTGTTGTCGGTGCTACAGTTGGTAGCGGTGCCGCTGTCTTCTCCGGCCGCCTCCCTCGCCGCCTCGTCTGTCTCCGTTTCCTCCTCCTCTCTTCCTGACCCTCCTTCGTGCGGCACTCCCTCGCTCTTCTCTCGCCTCTCCCTCCTCCTCCCCCTCTTCGTCCCCTCGCCCGCCTCCGCCCGCCCCGCCTCCCCACCCGTCCCTTTTCCTTCCTCCTCCTCCCTCCTCCTCCTCGCGTCGTCCTCCCTCCCTCCTCCTCCTCCTCACCCACCTCCTCGTCCTCCTCTTCTCTTTTCCCTTCATACCCCTCCCCCTCCCTCCCCTCCCCCCTCCTCCCTCCTCCTCCTCCTCCTCCTCCTCCTCCCTCCTCCTCCTCCTCCTCCTTCCCTTCCACCTCCCTCCTCTTCCTCCTCCTCCTCCTCTCTCCTCCTCCTCGTTCCTCGTCCTCCTCTTTCTTCTACTTCCTCCTCCTCCTCCGCCTCGTCCTCCTCTTCTTCCCTCCTCCTCCCTCGTCCCTCCTACCTCGTCCCGTCCTGTTCCCTCCTCCTCCTCCTCCTCCTCGTCTCCTCCTCCTCACTCCTCCCATCGTCCCTCCTTCTCCCTCCTCCTTCCACCTCCTCCTCCTTCCTCCTCCTCCTCCTCAACCCGCCCAACCCCCTCCTCCTCCCTCCTCCTCCTCCCTCCTCCTCCTCCTCCCTTGCCTCCTCCTCCTCCTCCTCCTCCTCGTCCTCCTCGTCCTCCTCGTCCTCCTCCTCCTCCTTCTCCTCCATCTCCTCCTCCTCCTCCGCGTCCTCGTCGTCGTCCTCCTCCTCTTCCTCCTCCTCCTCCTCCTCCTCCTGCTACTCCTCCTCCGCGTCCTCCCGCTGGTCGCCGTCGCGTTGCTGGTAGTGGTGGTGGACCTGCTGGTCTCCGTCGTGGCGCTGGGGCGTAGTGGTGCGGTTGGTCGCGGTCGTGGTGCTGCTGGCGGTGGTGGCAGTCGGGGTGGTGGTGCTGGTTGTTGTCGTCGTGGCGTTGCTGCGGGAGGCGATACAGGTCGTCGACGCCACGCCAGACTGCTGTTGGTCGCCGTCGCGTTGTTGCTGGTCGCACTCGCGGTGTTGGAGCTGTTGGTCGTGTTTGTGGCTTTGGTTCTGCTTGTCGTAGTCGTGGCGCTTCTGGTCGCTGTCGTGGTGGTGGTGGTGCTGCTGGCCGCAGTCGTGGCGCAACTGCTGGTCGCGGTCGTTGTGGTGCTGCTGGTCGTCGTCGTGTGGTAGCGGTGCCGCTGTCTTCTCCGCAGACAGCGAGGCTAGCATTGCATGTCACGGAAAACGTAGGGAGAGGAGCGGGGCGGGGGGCGCCGCGCAGTTTTGGTTCAGGACCGGAGGGTCTAGGTTGGCCAGGGCCCCTTCCCTGGATTTGCCCGCCCGCCCACCCAGGGTGTAGACCGTGGGCAGGGTTGGAAAGGCTGGGCTGCTGGGGTGCCATTCCCCAGTTGTGCCCGCAGCTCTACTGGGGTGCAGACCCTGGGCTGGGCTGGTGGACCTGCACCAAGCATCACCCCACGTCGGTGCAAAGGTCAGCACGCACCATGTCGGCAGCCGCGGGCGGCAGGCGAGCGGCACCGCAGCCGGCGCCCCGCCGCTGCAGGCCCCCCGCCCCCCAGCTTGAGTCTCGTTTTCTTCTTCTTTCTTTTCCCCATTCGATTGTGAACATTTTGCTCCCCTTTTTCCCCCCTTTCTCCCTATT